GATGGGCATCCCCTCGATTTCCAATTCTTAGTCACCACAAAAGAAGCTACTATTGATATTTTTATATGTATAAGTCATTTTTCTTTTCTTTGGGATACAGACCTAGCAATGGTATTGCTGGATCAAAGGGCATGCACAATTTTGTAGTCCTTAGGGCATGGTTCCAGATTGTTCTCCAGAATGGTTGGATCAGTTCACAACTTCACCAATAGTGCATTAGTGTCCCACATCCAAACCAATATTTATCATTTTCATTTTTTTCATATTAGCCAATCTGATAGGTGTGGAGTGGTACCTCAGAGTTGGTTTAATTTGTATTTCTCTAATCAATAGTGATTTAGAGCATTTTTTTTATATTGCTATAGATAGCTTCAGTTTCTTCATCTAAAAACTGCCTGTTCATATCCTTTGACCGTTTATCAATTGGGAAATGACTTGTACTCTTATAAATTTTACTCAGTTCCCTATATATTTGAGAAATGAGGCCTTTAGCAGAGATTCTTGCTGCAAATTCAATCCCCCATCCCACCTCCAGTTTTCTGCTTTCCTTCTAATTTTGGTTGCATTGGTTTTGTTTGTGCAAAAACTTTTTAATTTTATGTAATCAGAATTATCTATTTTACATTCCATTGTTCTCTCTATATCTTGTTGGTCCTATATTCTTCCCTTATCCATAGATCTGACAGGTAAACTATTCTATGCTCTCCTAACTTGCTTATGGTATCACCCTTTATGTGTAAATCATGTACCCTCAGCACTCTTTCTGTAAGGGCTCCCACAGAAATTTTTGAAGAACATCTATTAAGTTATAGAGAGGTTAGATTTGTGCCTCAGTGGAGTGAGTATTCACATTGATCAAATCATAGATCATGGAAGCACTGAAATATTGAGATTCAGGGTTTTGTAGCTTCTCAGAGGCCCCTTTTTCATTTATATGTAAGTTGAAGGGATTGGGTCAAATGATCTCTAAGGTCCCTTACTAGAGCTATGAACCTATAATCTCTGTGGGCCTCATTCTTCATCTGCAAAATAAGGGCTTTGGTGTGTGATTAAAACTACTTTCCAGATCTAAGTCTACAATGTTTCTCTGAAATTTTCTCCCTAGATTGGATAACCACAAACAAGTCATTTGAGGTTTCTCATCTATATAACAAAGCTGATGCTATCTCAAGTAGCTACTTTATAGTGTTAACTTCCGTTTTGTCATTTTCAGGATAAAGATCATTCTCTTTTGTAGAGACAACATACAACATGATAATTGAGCAGTTTTACCTTCTCTTTTTTGTCAGTTATCATCACATCTGCCCAAGTAAAGTTCTGATCCTCTTGTTCCCAATGTAGCTAAAAATCAAAATAATATTCTTTTTTTGTCATAGCTTCTCTTATCTGTCTTAGTTCATTTGGAGTTTTAATATTCTTGTTAATATTTTTACTGGATCACCATACAATCTTATGGTCTTCTTCTGTTACCTAGATTTGCTCCTATCTTCCATATATTTCTTATTATTTATTTATTTTTTTGGTGAGGCAATTGGGGTTAAGTGACTTGCCCAAAGTCACACAGCTAGTGAGTGTTATGTGTCTGAGGCCACATTTGAACTTAGGTCCTCCTGACTCCAGGGCTGGTGCTCTATCTACTGCACCACCTAGCTGCCCCTATACATTTCTTTAAAAAGCCTAAAATGGCGGTGGGATTCCTGTGTTTCCACATTGGTCTTACATCACAGATCACATAGAAAGTAGCAGAATGCCCAGACTATGATCATATCTGTTTCTTGAACTCTTCTCTCACCAATTTCACTCTTCGATTACCTTAATCAACTCTTTCCTGACAAACCAACTTTGGTTCATAGCATGCCCCTCTACTCTTGATTGTGGCCACTATTCCCATGGTTCTATCACCTCAAACAGAAAGGGAGCTGAGTGAAACTGGTAAGGAAACTTGCTTTTAACATGAGGTTAAGTAAAATGATGTTATTTGTCCAAGCTCAGTGAGAGAGCTTTATTTAATTTTTCTTTATTCCAAGCAGATCACAAAGGCTAGACTGATCGCTGCAGGTTGAAAAGGCTGGTAACATTTAACTTCTCCACAGCAACAATTTTATTTTATTGTTTATTCTGAGTCTAACAAACAAACTAAAATGACTATTTCCATATACAAAATAGAACAGAAAAAGAGGATTGCACATGAAACTATCTTTTGCACATGAAACTGTATCTTTATTATATACAGCTTGCTTTTCTATTTAAATCTATAATTTAATTCAACATGTAACTTTCAAAGGTGCCCTATCTATATTTCCTTCTGAAATTTCTTGTGTTCTACATTTTAAAAATGTTTCAGTATTTTTCTTTTCTTTCTTTTATTTTGGGAGAAGGGGCCACTCTATCACTATCTGCCTCTATCTTTACCTCCCCTCATTGAGAATAAAAGGTAAAACAAAGCCCATGTAACCAATATGCATAGTCAAGCAAAACAAATTCCCACATTGGCTGTGCGTCTTATCCTTCAGCTTGAGTCTATTCCCCTTCTCTCAGGAAGTGGGTAGCACGATTCATTATTAATACTCTCCAGAATCATGGCTGTTCATTTCACTGATCAGAGTAAGTACTTTAAAATTAATTTAAAAAATAGTTTATTTTGATTTATCAACAATCACTTCCATAAGCTTTTGAGTTTTAATTTCTTCTCCCCTTCCCTCCCCACCTCTCTCTCCAAGACAGCATGCAATCTGATATAGGCTATACATATACATACCTATTAAACATATTTTCACATTAGTGATGTTGTAAGGAAGAATTAAAACCAATAGGAGGAACCACCACAAAGTGGAAACAAAACACAACAGAAAAAAAAATGGCAAATAGTATGCTTTGATCTGCATTCAAACTCCATAATTCTTTCTTTGGATGGATAGCTTTTTCCATCATGAGGCCTTTGGAGATGTCTTAGATCCTTGTATTGCTGAGAAGAGTTAAGTATCAATATTAGTCATCTCACAACATGGCTCTTACTGTGTACAACATTCTCCTGGTTCTGCTCACTTCACTTAGCATCAGACCGTACAAGTCTTTTCAGATTTGTCTGAAGTCTGTCTGTTCATGATTTCTTATAGCACAATAGCATTCCATTACATTCATATACCCCAACTTGTTCAGCCATTACCCAATTGATGGGCATCCTCTCAATTTCCAATTCTTTGCCCCCACAAAAAGAGCTGTTTTCAATATTTTTGTACATGTGGGTCCTTTTTCCCATTTGTATGATCTCTTTGGGATACAGCCCTAGAAGTACTATTGCTGGGTCAAAGGGTATGCACATTTTTATATCCCTTTGAGCATAGTTCCAAATTGCTCTCCAAAATGGATGGATCATTTCACAACTCCACCAACAATGCATTAGAGTTCCAATTTTCCCACATCTTCTCCAACATTTATCATTTTCCTGTTTTCTCATGTTGGCCAATCTGATAGGTGTGATGTGGTACCTCAGAGTTGTTTTGATTTGCATTTCTCTAATCAGTAGTGATTTAAAGCATTTTTTCATATGACTATAGATGGCTTTAATTTCTTCATCTGAGAACTGTCTGTTCATATCCTTTGACCACTTATCAAGTGGGGAATGACTTGTATTCTCATAAATTTGACTTAATTCTCTATATATTTTAGAAATGAGGCCCTTATCAGAGACTTTGGCTGTAAAAATTCTTTCCAAATTTTCTACTTTCCTTCTAATCTTGGTTGCACTGACTTTGTGCAAAACTTTTCAATTTAATGTAATCAAAGTTATCTATTTTGCTTTTCATAATGTTCTCTGTCTCCTGTTTGGTCATGAATTTTTCTGTTCTGAATAAACTTGATAGGTAAACTATTCCTTGCTCTCCCAGTTTGCTTATAGTATCAGCCTTTATATCTACATCATGAACCCATTTTGACTTTATTTTGGTATATGGTGTGAGATTTTGGTCTATGCTTAATTTCTGCTATACTCTTTTCCAGTTTTCCCAGCAGTTTTAGTCAAAGAGTAAGTTCTTATCCCAGAAGCTGGGGTCTTTGGGTTTATCAAATAATAGATTAGTATAGTCATTGACTACTGTGTCTTGCATACTTAACCTATTCCACTGATCCACCACTCTTAAAATTACTTTTCTTTATAGAATTGTTATATAAATTATCTTGATTCTACTTACTTTAGTTGATTCTACTACTCACTAAAGAAATTCCTAGACTTCTCTAAAACTGTACTTTTTGTCCTTTCTTATGGTGCAACAATTTTCCATTACATTCATATTCTGAAATTTGCTCAGCCTTGATCCAATAAACATTCCCCTCTTCTTCCATTTTGTCACTACAAAGAGAGCTGCCATAAGTATTTTTTTTGCCAATATGTGTCCTTTTCCACTTTCTTTGTTTATATAGATTTAGTAGTGGCATGACTGGGTCAAAGGGTATGCATAGTTTAGTGACTTTTTGGCTTAGTTTCAAATTGTTTTAGAGAATGGCTATTTTGATGTTCAATTCTGCCAATAGTGCATTAATGTACCTGTTTTCCTGTGACCTCTCCAACAATTTCTTTTTTCCCCCCATATATATCAATCTTACTGATAGAAGATGGAACCTCAGAGTTATTTTGATTTGCACTTCTCTATTAGTAATTTGGAGCATTTTATATATGGTTGTTGATATTTTCCTCAATAGCAAAGTATAGCCTGATCTCTCTATACTTTTAAGTTGACTTAAAAAAATCCTTAATGATTTATTTTCTTTTCATTTGCCTCCTCCTAAAAGTATATGGAAAGAGAGAAAACATAATACTAATTATCTGAGTTTCAGTTGGCTGAGTCCCGGTTAATTAAGTTTCTATAGCACATATCATCTTTACAACATCATGAGCAGCAATATCAGGATCATTCTTTCAAATGTAGTTGCAGTTGTCTTAGATTTTTTCAACTCTATTCCTTTTGTTTTTTACAGGTTGCTTCATAGCTATGTCTGTGAAATCAATGGAGGGAGCCAATTACTCCAGAGTGTCTGAATTTGTGTTGCTGGGACTAACTGATTCTCCTGAGCTCCAGGCTTTCTTCTTTGTGGTGTTCTCTATTTTTTATGTGATGACTATATTGGGCAATTGTCTCATTTTGGTTACAGTTATATCCACCCCACAGCTTCATTCCCCCATGTATTTCTTGCTTAGCAACCTGTCTTTCATTGACATGTGTCTGTCCTCCTTTGCTACACCTAAGATGATCATGGACTTTTTCACCCATCATAAGACCATTTCTTTTGAAGGTTGCATCTCTCAAATCTTCTTCTTGCACCTCTTCACTGGCACTGAGATTGTTCTACTTATCTCCATGTCCTTTGATAGATACATTGCCATATGCAAACCTCTCCAATACTCAAACTTTATGAGTCAACATGTGTGTCTGTGCCTTGTGGTGGTTTCCTGGACAGTGGGTTTCCTTCACACAGTGAGTCAATTGGCCTTCACGCTGTACTTGCCATTCTGTGGTCCTAATGTTGTAGACAGCTTCTTCTGTGACCTTCCTTTAGTCATTCAACTTGCCTGCATAGATATCTATGTTGTAGGGCTCTTCATGATTTCAACCAGTGGCATGATTGCTCTGGTCAGCTTCCTGCTCTTGCTTACCTCCTACATCATTGTTCTGGTCACTATCAAGAAGCACTCCTCCAGTGGATCATCGAAGGCACTTTCTACCTGTACTGCACATTTCATAGTTGTGTTCATGTTCTTTGGACCATGCATCTTCATCTATGTATGGCCCTTTACCAACTTTCTGGTGGACAAGATTCTGTCTGTGTTTTATACTATTTTCACACCTTTCTTGAATCCACTTATCTATACTCTGAGGAACCAAGAGGTGAAAGCTGCCATGAGGAAAATGAGCAACCAATATATTAGTTTCCGGAAAACTGAACAATTTCCAAGATACACTGTACAATGAAGGAAACACCTATCTGTCACCCAATATCACCTGTTTTCCACCCTTAGAATAACAATTATTTTCTATAATCCAAAAGCTGTTCATTAAATGCCTACTACTTCACAAAGTTACTATTAGTAGAGCTGGAAGAGAATTTAAGTTTATCTAGTCTAATAATTCCATCTTAAAGATGAGAAAACTGAAGCCTATAAAGGTTAAAGCACTGCACACTGCAGTTATAACAGAGTCAGGATTAAAACTTCTTTCTCCTGTCATATCTCCTTCTATGGCACCAAATTGTCTCTATTATTATCAGTAACTGTGGAAACATAGCAACTTGATGTTCTTGTCAAAAATACAGAAGAACCAGAAACTTCACTCCTTGCAATTTAATTTAAAGTTGTGAGACCTTCAAACTTTGAATCAGTAACCCACCAGCCTAGTATTTTAGTATCTTGCCATATTCAGGGCAACAGTTTGAGAGTAAGTTTATGTTCACATATTCTCTAGCTGAATGACCTTGGGCAAGTGTCTGAATCTTTCTAAACCTCAAATGCATCATCAATAAAGTGGAAATAATAATATACTTCACAAGGCTGTTGTGAGCAAAGTGCTTTGTAAACACAGCATTTACATAAATGTGAACTATTATTTGAGGTTTAGATAGTTAGTACTAGCACAAGACAGGAATCAGTCTAGAATGTAATTATGGGTGTGTACAACAGTGAATATTTTGAAATATAAATTTGTAGAAATGAGTATTTTAATGTCAAAAAAGTTCAGCTCTCCATTGGCCATAGAAATGTATTCTGTATGGTTCCATGAATTCTAATGAAGGTTCAAAGCCTCTGGTGGACTGTCACAAAATAGCACAGCTCATCATTACATCTTTATTGGACAATGTCTAACCAGCATTTGAAGTATATTTTATGAGAAAGCAAATGGTACATTCCAAAGGCCCTTTTTATAATGTACTCCAGGAATTCCCACATTACCAAGCACAGAACTCTAAAATGCTGTAATGGGTTCTTTTTTTTTCCTAAATTCAATTTTATTTTTAGTTCCAAATCGAGAAGGCAAGAAATACAAAACTCATGACAAATATGAAGTTAGGCGAAACAATTTCTGCATTAGTCATGTAAAAAAAACATATTTCAATCTGTTTTCTGAGTTCATCAGTTCTCTGTCTGGAGGTGGATATCATTTTTTCATCATGAATCCTTTGAAAATGTGGTAGATCATAGTGTTGATAAGTTACTAAGTCTTTCATAGTTGGTTATCTTTACAATATGGTTATTACCATGTACATTGTTCTCCTAATTCTGCTTGCTTCACTTTGTATTGGCTTGTATAAGCCTCCCCAAGTTTTTTTTCTGAAACCATCATCTTCATCATTTCTAACAGCATAAGAATGTTCCATCACACCATATACCATGACTTGGTCAGCCATTTTCCAACTGATGGGCAACCTCTCAGTTTCCATTTCTTTGCCAATAGAAAAGGAGCTGTTATAACTATTTTTATACATATAGTTCCTTTACCTTTTTCTGAAATTCCAGTAGTATAGATGTGACATTAAGAGGATTTGATTTAAAATATATTTTTGGACTACGTGCATTATGGACAGTATGTTTTCAGCCTGGTAGAGACCTTAGATCAAATAGCCTAGCATCTTCAAAAGTGTATTCTGCCAACTTGTAGTATTTCACACAATACAGATAAGGGTTCTGTGAGATTCTGGAAGCAGAAGTATTTTTTTCTGCTAAAATAGTCAATGTGGTATGCAGAGAGAACACTGGATTTAGAGTCAGAGGAAGTGGCACGGTAGATAGAGCACCGGCCCTGGAGTCAGGAGGACCTCAGTTCAAATCTGATCTCAGACCAGACACTTGACACTTACTAGCTGTGTGACCCTAGGGAAGTCACTTAACCCCAGTTGCCTCAACAAAACAAAAAAACAGAACAAAAAAATAAAGAAAAAAATCAAGCTATGTATGTGTGTGTGTGTGTGTGTGTGTGTGTGTCTATATAAATATATATATATATATATATATATATATATATGTATGTATGTATATATAACTTGTCATTACCTACCTTTCTGGGTCTTGTTCTCCTCATTTATAAAATGAAGGAATTGAACCAGATGATCCCTAAGTTCCCATCTAGTTCTTCAAATATGAAATGATAACTCACATTTCTAAGGCTCTTTGCCCACAACTCTGCAGGGTAGGTAATAACTTGTTCTTGTCAAAAATATTAATTATATGAAACAATGTTTCAGTATGAAAATATACCTAATTCTCTCTATCATAATCCCAATTTTTCCAACCCAATTTATTTCAGAAATATGCTGTAGCCATAGGACTCCAAGACCAGCATTTTTGGGATGTCAATATATTTCAGTCTTGAAAATTTTCCATGGTCCAATCACTTTAGGAAACACTGACCTAATCTAAATTCGAAAGGACCACACAGAGCTGGGTATTAGCAGTATCAGCACTCAAACCCAGGACTATCAACCATAGTTTGGTACTTTTTTCACATTAACCTTTATAAAAAAAAACATCCATAATGTACATTATTTAAAAAAAAAAGATATCCAATTTGGAAAGACCATGAAGTTTTACCCCAATCTATGAGCATTTTAATTACTAAATTAGTTTTCAAAAATTCCCCAAAAAGAATGGTTGTGCCAATATATGTAGTAGCAAAATCATTATAGAACTCTTTTAACTACAATTTTCTATTGATTTAATTAGCTGGTGTGTTTACATGTTGCCTTGATCAAATAGATGTATTCTTAGGTTCATATAAATAGCAGTAGTAAATGTTAGACCGTGTGTAGCTAGTTAGATTGATGCCATAAAGATGGCATACTTCTATGATCTTTTGCATAGTTACAGACAATGAGTGCAATGATAACATTAGAAATTCTTTCTCTTTTAAAAGAGCAATTAGAAATGAGGGAGAAATGGACACAACACAACACTGTGTTACAACTCTCTAGTGCTTTAAACTTTTAAAATAATGTTTCCCAATATCATTGAATTTGAGACTCACAATTGTGTCAGGTATTATTTTTTCTATTTAAGAAATAAGTAGTGGTAACAATAAGTTGTGATTTTCCCTAGGGTCATATAATTATTATATGTATTACATTTTGCATATGTGAATTGTTTTGTGAAGTATTACATTTTCTGAATTTTTTTTAAAAAAATTAAAACAAATCCTCCAGTCCTGTATTTTTTCTACTGTATTACAAATATTTACTCATGTCTCATGGCCAATCATAAATAGAATGTAAAATGAGTGTGAATGTTATGTATTTGCCTCATCTTTTTTTAATGGTATTTTATTTTTTTCCCGTTTAATGTCAAGGCAATTTCTAGCATTCAATTTTACAAGATTTTTAGTTCCAATTTTTCCCCCTTCCTTCCTCCCCTTCCCTCTTCTGAAAATGGTAGGCAATTTGATATAGGTTATGCATGTGATATCATGTAAAACATATTTCTATATTAGCCACAGTTGTGAAAGAAGAAACAAATGAAAAGAAAAAACAAGAAAAAGAATAAAGTAGGTTGAAAAATATGCTGTGATCTGCATTCAGAGTCCATCAGTTCTTTATCTGGATGTGGATAGCATTTCCCCTCCTGAGTCCTTTGTACTTGTCTTGGATCAGAGTTGCTGAAAAGAGCTGTCATTCATAGTTGATCATCACACAAGCTTGCTGATACTGTGTACAATATTTCCTGATGCTGCTCATTTCATTTTGCATCAGTTTGTACAAGTCTTTCCAGGATTTTCTGAAATCTGCCTGTTTATCATTTCTTATTGCACAATAGTAAACCATTACATTCATGTACCACAGCTTGTTCAACAAGCCATTCCCCAATTGATTGGCATCCCCTCAATTTCCAGTATTTTACCACCATAAAAAGGTCTGACATAAATATTTCTGCCCGTGTAGGTACTTTTCCCTTTTTAATGATCTCTTTGGGACACAGACCTAGTAGTGATATTGCTGGATCAAAGAGTATGTACAGTTTGGTTGTCCTTTAGGCATAGTTCCAAATTGCTCTCCAGAATGGCTGGATCCGTTCACAACTCCACCAACAGTGCATTAGTGCCCCCATTTTCCCACATCCTCTGCAACATTTAACATTTTTCTTTTTTTTTTTGTCATATTAGCCAATTTGATACCTGTGAGGTGGTCCCTCAGAGTTGTTTTAATTTGCATTTCTCTAATCAAAAGTCATTTAGAGGACTTCTTCATATGTCTATAGATAGCTTCGATTTCTTCCTCTGAAAACTGCCTGTTCAGAACCTTTGACCATTTATCAATTGGAAAATGGCTTGTATTTCTATAAATTTGACTCAATTCTCTATATATTTGAGAAATGAGGCCTTTATCAGAGACATTGGCTGTAAAGATTGTTACCCAGCTTTCTGCTTTCCTTCTAATCTTGTCTGCATTGGATTTGCTTGTACAAAAGATTTTTTTTTCAGGCAATTGGGGTTAAGTGACTTGCCCAGGGTCACACAGCTAGTAAGTGTCAAGTGTTTTGTCTGAGGCTGGATTTGAACTCAGGTCCTCCTGACTTCAGGGCCGGTGCTCTATCCACTGCATAACCTAGCTGCCCCTTACAAAAGACTTTTAATTTAATATAATTAAAATTATATATTCTATATTTTGTAATGCTATGCCTTGTTTGGTCATGGATTCTTTCCCTCTTCATAGCTATGAGAGGTAGACCATTCCTTGCTCTTCTAATTTGCTTATGGTATCACCTTTTATGTCTAAATCATGGACCCATTTTGACTTTCCCTATTATATGGTCAATTTTTGTGTAGGTGCCATGTGCTACTGAGAAAAAGGTATATTCCATTCTGTTCCCATTCAGTTTTCTCCATAGGTCTATCATATCTAACTTTTTCTAATATTCTACTTATCTCCTTAGTTTCTTCCTTTCTTAATTGGATTTCTTGAGTTCTTAGAGGGGAGAGTTGCAGTCCTCCACTAGTACAGTTTTACTCTCTATCTTTTCCTGTAACTCACTTAACTTCTCCTTTAAGAATTTAGATGTTATACCATTTGGTGCATATGTGGTTAGTATTGCTATTGCTTCATTATCTATGGTACAAAATGTAGTTTCCTTCTTTATATCTTTTAATTAGGCCTATTTTTGCTTTTGTCTGAGATCAGGAATGCTATCCCAGCTTTTTTTTTTTTACTTCAGCTGAAGAATAACAGGTTTTGCTCCAGAACCTTACCTTTACTGTGTGTGTCTCTGCTTCATGTTTCTTTTTTTTATGGTAATTTTTATTTATTTTTTTGTTTTCAACATTTACTTCCACAAGATTTTGAGTTCCAAATTTTCACCCCATCTTGCCCCTCCCCCCACCCCAAGATGGCATGCATTCTAAATAACCCTTCCCCTAGTCTACCTTCCCTTCTATCTCTCCCCCACTTCTCTTATCCCCTTCCCTTTCAATTTTCCTGTAGGGTAGGATGGATTTCTGTACCCCATTTCCTGTATTTCTTATTTCCCAGTTGCATGCGAAAACATTTTTTTAAACATGTGTTTTTAAAACTTTGGGTTCCAAATTTTCTCCCTTCCTCCCTCCCCACCCACCCTCATTGATAAGGCAAGCAACTAAATATAGGTTATATATGTGCAGTTATGCAAAACACTTCCATAGTAGACATGCTGTGAAAAACTAACTCTATTTCCCTTAATCCTATCCCACCCATCCATTTATTCTATTCTTTCTTTTGACCCTGTCCCTCCTCAGAAGTATTTGCTTCTGATTACTCCCTTTCCCAATCTGCCCTCCTCTCTATCTTTCCCCTACTCCCTTGTCCCCTTCACCCCCTATTTTCTGTAGGGTAAGACAGATTTCCACACCCAATTAAGTATGTATGTTATTCCAGCCTTAAGTCAAATCCTATGAGAATAAGATTCACTCATGCCCTCTCACCTTCCCCTATTTCCCCTCCACTGTAAGAGCCTTTTCTTTTCTGTTTTTTTTTTTGGTAGGATAATTTACCCCGTTCTACCTCTCCCTTTCTCCTTCTCCTGGTATATTCCTCTCTCACCCCTTAATTTTATTGTCCAGATATGACCCCTTCATTTTCAACTCACCCTGTGCCCTCTATCTGTCTATCTATATCTATATATACATACATATAATTTTTCCCCTCCAACTACCCTAATACTGACAAAGGTCTCATGAGTTACAAATATCATCTTTCCATGAAGGAATGTAAGCAGTTCAACCTTAGTAAGTCTCTTATGATTTTCTCTTTCCTGTTTACCTCTTCATGTTCCACTTTAGTCTCATATTCGAAAATCAAATTTTCCATTTAACTCTGGTCTTTTCATCGAGAATGCTTGAAAGTCCTCTATTTCACTGAATGACCATTTTTCACCCTGCAAGATTATACTCAGTTTTGCTGGGTAGGTGATTCTTGATTATAGTCCTATCTCCTTTGCTCTCCGGGAATATTATATTCCATGCCCTGTGGTCCCTTAATGTAGAAGCAGCTAAGTCTTGTGTTATCCTGATTGTGTTTCCACAATACATGAATTGTTTCTTTCTGGCTGCTTGCAATATTTTCTCCTTGACCTGAGAACTCTGGAATTTGGCTACAATATTCCTAGAAGCTTTCCTCTGGGCATCTCTTTCAGGAGGAGATTGGTAGATTCTTTCAATTTCTATTTTTGCCCTCTGGTTCTAAAATATCAGGGCAGTTTTCCTTGATCATTTCTTGAAAGATCATGTCTAAGCTTGTTTTTTGATCATGGCTTTCAGATAGTCCAATAATTTTTAAATTCTCTCTCCTGGATCTATTTTCTAGGTCAGTTGTTTTTCCAATGAGATATTTCACATTGTTTTCTAATTTTTCATTCTTTTGGATGTGTTTTACAGTGTCTTGATTTCTCATAAAGTCACTAGCTTCCAATTGCTCTATTCTAATTTTTAAGGAAGTATTTTCTTCCTTAATCTTTTGGACTTCCTTTCCCATTTGGCCAATTTTGCTTTTTAGGGCATTCTTCTCCTCATTGGCTTTTTGGACCTCTTTTGCCATTTGGGTTAGGCTATTTTTTAAGGTGTCATTTTCTTCAGTACTTTTTTGGGTCTCCTTTAGCAAGCTGTTGACTTGTTTTTTCATGATTTTTTTGCATCACTCTCAGTTTTTCCTCTACTTCTCTTACTTGCTTCTCAAAATCCCTTTTGAGCTCTTCCAAGGCCTGGGACTGATTCATACTTTTCTTGGAGGCTTTGGATTTAGGAGCTTTGGCTTTGTTGTCTTCTTCTGGTTGTATGTTTTGATCTTCTTTGTCACCAAAGTAAGATAATATAGTCTGACTCTTTTTGTGCTGCTTACTCATGATCCCGGCCAATTACTTGAGTTTTCAACTCTTTGTTAAGGTAAAAGTCTTCTTCCAATGTGAAGAGTGTACTGTCCCAAGCTTTGGAGGTTTGTACAGCTGTTTTCAGAGATGCTTCTAGGGACCTGTAATTTTCAGTTCTTCCAAGGTGGTATGATAAGGGGCGAGGTGTTTTCTCTCCACCTCTACAACAAGCTCCAATGCACCAGTGCTCCTCCTTGCCCCAGGACTGCCCCTCAGAACTGTGACCCAGATCCAAGCACCAGTAGAGCAAGAGATTCCTGCCTCAGCACTGGCAAAGAGATCCCTGCAATCCCCCTCCGACCAGACACTTGATTCCCTTTCAGTCTGTGGCCAGGAAGCTGAGGAAACAGTGGCTGCCTCAAGCAGCGCTCCAGGCTTGTGGCTGAGACCTAGCTCCTCTCTCACCAAAGTCAGACTTTTCCCACTGACCTTTTAAGTTGTCTTTGGTGTTCCTGGATTAAGAAGTCTGGAAACAGCCACAGCTGCCTGCAATTCAGTCCTCTGATCCCTGCTCCAGGGTCTCTGAGGCCTGCTCCAGGTTCGCTGCGGCCTGCGCGCCCACACTGAACTGGGCTCCTCTCCCTGCTCGGCGCTATACACTTTTCCAATCAATCATTCAGGCTGTCTTTGGCTGGAAATTTGTTTCACTCTGTCTTTCTGTGGGTTCTGCTGCTTTATAATTTGTTTGGAGCCATTTTTTAAGGTATGTGGAGGGCTTTGGGAGAGAGCTCAAGACAGTCACTACTTTCCCTCTGCCATCTTGGCTCCGCCCCTTGGGGGGCCTTTTTCCTTTCTTTTAAATTTGATCTCTTCTCCCATGGTGGAAGGGTCTCTGTCTTAGGCTTCTTGTGCCTGGGGCTATAGGGCCTGCCTGTTTGTCTCGTGGTGTGATGATGCTGTCCTGAGGCCCATCGAGGGCCCTCCTATTAGATGCTCTGTTGAGGGAGTGGTGTGGGAAGCGTCTGCTGCTGCTGGATGCTGTAGGGGTCTGGCAGCTTACCTGGTGCTGAGCTCAGGTTCTAGTGGTGTTGTCTGGTACATGCTGAGACCTGGTGGTGTATTTCTGTGTTTCCCTGGGGCTACACTGAAGCACATTCACGTCTGCCCTTTGGAGGCTGGCTGTTTATCCTGGGCTGTGCTGAAGCATGTGGAGTTCTGGCTGCTGAAGGATGCCTGTTTGCCTGGAGCTAAGCTAAAGCATGTGATGGTTCTTGCAGCTGAAATCTGCCAGTTCCCCTGACTATGCTAAGGTGTGTGGTGGGCAGGGAGTGGTGTGGATGAAGTTGGGGGAAGAAGCATCCTGGTGTTGGAGTTTGCCTGATCCACTACACTAGGGCTCAGGATCTCCTCCTGGTTTGCTGAGGTGAGGCTTGCTGGGATGTTTCCTGTCCTCGAATGTACTCTCCTTTAACTCCAATGAGGACCTTTATTGCCAAGAAGCCAGGGCTAAAATATTGTTCCACCCCATCTTTTCACTGGCTCTGCTATTCCAGGATTTGTTTTGGGGCACTATTTTGTGCTTGCTTGGAGGTGAATATGGGAGACTTACAGATATTTACTGCTTACTCCACCATCTTGGCTCCTAGAAGTCAAAATCTTGCCTCATTCTTAATACATTTATTTCATTTAATTTAATGCTTCAAAGAACTATGATTTTGATGTTCTTTCCATTTATAAGATCACAACCCTGCCACACCTTAGCAGTTTTTAGGAGTTACTTTAGCCACTCCATCCTCCTCACCACCTCTTCAGACACGAAACAAAAACTATTTGGCAGCATCCTCCTGGTAAAGAACTTCTTCACACTTACATGAGTTCTAGGGTTGCAGACAACAGCAAAACATAAGTTCCTTAAGGACAAGAAGTTGTTTTTTTTTTCCCCCTTGTCTCTCTAGCTATAGGGGTTAGTATAGTGCCTTGCATGTTGTAATTGCTAAATAATTGCTTGTTAAAATGAAGTGTTACTCACATACTCTGCCTTTCTATCTTGGTAGAAGTTTCTAGTTTCTGCTGTCTTAGAAAAATCTTAGAGAACTCAGGCTCACCTCTAGTCCACGGTGAGGCCGTAAGGCTAGAAACGTAATGAAAGACATAAAAAAATACAACAGGTAAAATACTTCCCTTCGTTTCTTTGGGAGTAGAACACTTTCTGCAACATCAATACATTTAATCACCAAATCTAAGACTATGGTGCTTCCAGGACAATAACCTACGGGAAAGAAAATTCATGTGATGGTTTAGAATTAAAGAACATGATATTCGTGTTGAAATAAAAAGAGATATGTCCAATTTTGAATTTTGAAACTGACTTGTATCAATTATTTCTGATCACTATCTGGTTCATTTGTGTAGTTGATACATACATAGATTGTTTGGGGAAATATTAACATTTTAGAGTTTCTCATTTTTTTTTAAAGTTGACAGTAGGATTGCATGAATTGGCAAAGAAAATAAAACACAGTGCCTCCAATACATTTGGTACTTGCATTACTTCAGTTCATCCAAAGATCTGGGATTACATGTGATGGGTTCTACCTACCACTCTGAAAAAGCTTAACTGGTCCTACTGCCTCTATTCTCTATGACTTTGAATCAAGTCTATATACTTGCCCGACATTTTGTGCACAGACCTACCTTCTCATGCCACTTCCCTACCTGCAATAACCCTCCCTTTTGCTTAGTGAATTGAGTACAAAACTTCCATGTTCAAAGCACTCTAAACAAGTCCATCAACCACTTTCAGACACATTTAGACATTTATGTTACTCCCATCACATAACCCTATAATTGCTATAATTGTTCCACATTCTCTTTCTTATGACTAGAATGCCTCCAACACCAAGTAGTGTTCTGTACCTACTTTAAAATCTTACAGAAGCATGTTTATACCTGTTAACAGAATTTCCTGAGCCAGTCTCTAACCTGGGAATACTTGGAACTACACAAAGCAGGCCTACAGACAAGAGTGCCAGTAATCAAGTAGAGGTTTAATTAATCAATTTCAGAGTGAGGAATGCTCTCCATGCCAAAGTAAAGACACAGTTTATATACATGAATCACAAGTGGAGAAGGAGGGGGAAGGTGGATTGTAACACAATAATTTCTAGGGCCTGAGTGGTTTCCCATGACAAGTCCATAACACAAGTATTCTGGAGTCCTGCGGGGCCAGTCTTATTTCAGGTCCTTGGGGGTTGTTAGTTGGTGGGGCACAGGACCAGAGTTCTGTGAAGGGAACAGGTTCTACAATCTTTGATTTGCTTCTCTTAAGGTACACAGGCACAGGAATGTAATGATTGTGAATGTTGTCAAGGGTTTGATTGATAATTTCAAGCTACATTGTAAGTTTCTGCCTTGCAAGCCTGAAGAGGCAGTTCTAAATTATTAGTATAGTCATTACACATCATATCAAATATGAAAATCCTAATTTCCTTCACATTCCCTTCTTTGTCAAAGATTGGAACAACCCTGAAGACTGATGAAGAACATTCACTTGAAGCATGATTTTGACTTTATGTAAGAATAAGTCAAATAAATACAAAAATACAAATACAAAATACAAAAACACAAGTTTAATAAAGAAGACAAAATATCAGGCTAAAGAGAAATTTGCTGTAAAAGGAAAAAGAGGGACATAGTTATCTTATAACAGGGCAAAAACTCGCTTAGCTCTGTTCGATTCCAGGCATGAGTCATATCTGACAGCCAATCATATAGTCACAGTGTGTCAAAGGCAAGGCAAGGCTAAGGATTAACCAGATGGATAGAAAGCTAAACTCACGAGTCAGGAAGACCCGAGTTCAAATTTGGCCTTAGACACTTGCTATTTTGTGTGACCCTGGGCAAGTCACTTAACCTGTTTGCCTTAATCCATTGGAGAAAGAATGAACAATATGGTCACAGGGTCTCAGAGTTGGACGTGACTGGACATACATATACTCCGTTTGGCTTCTATACCCCTTCACAATCTGACCCTAATCTACCTTTTCAACTTTGTTATACGTTACCCTACTTCTTAAACTCTGGGTGGAATGGCTTTGTAGCAGTTTCTTACACACAATAAAGATATAGTTACACTAAACCCTTCTTGATCCTGCCTAATAACTCTGCATTTATTTTCCTCATATTTTATTCTCTGTATCTTTTATACATGTACTTGCTTCATTAGAATGTAGCTTGAGAAAAGGTTGTTTAGCTAACTTTATTTCTATCACTAACACTTAGCACACAGGAGGTATTTAACATCTCTTGACTTAGAAACATTAGAAGAGAAAATAGGCAGTTTCAGAAGCTTCAGGCTTAATCCAAGGTTCCTAGATACAAATCAAGGGTATGATTACATTATCTACGTATTTCTTTATATACCAGAACTTTAGTTCCTTGAATGGTACAGTCTTATTCATTTCCATATTCACATTCCTATAACATAGTTCTCTGTAATCTTTATTGTGGTTAGCTGACAGTGGTAAATCTTTGCCCTTTGAAAGTGAGATTTTTGCAAAGAGTAAGATGTTATCAAGTTGGGTAATTTCATCTGGCATGAAAACCAAAACAGGTAGATATGCATATAATCTTTATTTCCCACCTTCGGAACTTGATTATATATACTATTTTGTTTCCTCTCACTGCTTCAATTTACAGTTTTTTTTCTTCCTTCTAATTATAAGCCTCTAGAAGACAAAGCTCTATATATTTCTTTAGTACTTCCCACAGCTCCTAACACAGTGCAGGATACATAATACATATTCATTTAACAGAACAGTCACTGAACTGGACAACCACTATTGCAGAGGAGATAGTCTACTAGATTAATCTTTGACTTGATCAGTCAGATGTTTGGAGGTTACAAAGTCTATTGGTGAAGGGAAAGATGGTCTTCCTATTAGGAAAATGAATGTAATTTCAAAAAAAGTAGAGACCAATACATTGAAGCTTAAACCATATTTTATTTCATTAACAGAATTGCAGAATTTCCCTTTTAATTTTCACTCTTATTGCCTAACAAGAGGCTGCTAGATTGCTAAATAGCTAGATTCTATCCTTTTTTGGATATTACAAGGTTGTCCTTTTGGACCACCTTTTCATCCTCCTGGACATAGCAACAATCATAAATAGTAATGGAGATGGTTCAATTTTTACAAGATAAAACATGAAAGAAACCTACAACCTACTTGATATGCCCTATGTTTAATCCCTCATCCCAGAATCCCTTTCTCCCAGAAAATAAGACTGTCTTATTCCTGGGCATACTTTCACAGTACCAAAAAAGGAAGCTCTTTCCTCATTATGCTTTGCTCTAGGACTTTTTCTCTTTAATGTCTTGAGCAAATGCTATTCAGACATTTGAGATTCTTAGAATGCTATGCTTCCCTTTCCAGGGAATTCAACACAACCCTACCTTCCCACTCCCATCCTTGGGCCTCCCCCTCTCTGCCCGACACATCACCAAGGGTTATTTCTGTGTGGTAAGGTGACTATATGGTTCTGCATGTCAGATAACACAATAATAATAATGAAGAATTCAAAAATTATTCCTCTTACACAACAGCAATATATAGCTTTTTTATAGTATTTCCAGCTAAACCCTATGTCTCACTGAGGTCAGTGCTGGGACTTGCTATATAATTGCTGCTGCACTCACTTTTTTTCCTGGGATACTAGACATTGTCCCCCTTCTCCCTTCTTATTTCCCCTCATCTCACTGTATGCACGATGCTTCTGGTATTTCAGACATGCTGGTACTATTAATGAAGAAAAATTACATTAAACATCTGTAAGCTTGAATTTCAAAATCTAAAAAGTCTGTCTCAAACCTGTATCAAGGAACTACAGTCATCTCCTTGGTCCTAGGATGGACCTTAGCAGTGTACTTCAGCAATGAAGCAGAGGGTAGAGAAACAATATCCATTACTCAACATAATCCCTCAAAATTATTACCACAAAAGAGAAGTAATTTTAAAGAAATATCCCTGAAGTTCACCTGGTTCCCATCTTTCCTGGATGGGACTCTGATCATGATCACTTGGAAACACAAGTGCTTTTGTAGTACAGTCTAAAGTCCCTTTCATCTCAGTTCAAAAATGTTAGTAGAAATGGCAGGTGCAACATACAGTGACACATGCCAGGTGAAATCTGTGACAACTTATAAATCTGTTGTTTACCATTACTGCAGTTCAATTTTAAGAGTTCTTTTCTAGGATGAGTCTGAAGTCCATTTTATCTTAGTTCTCAAGTGGCAGATAC